AGTTGCATTACCCTTTAAGTTTCATCTTCATATACAACCTTGGCCCCAAAGGTTTCGAGTCTGTAGTCTTTTAGTCTCTCTTATATATTGTATAACCATAACTTCTGAATGGCCGTGGCCACCATAGCCTTTCTTTTGTCTAACTCAATCATCAACCAATTCTATAATGGGCTTACACCTCTACGATGTTAGAGGTACTATAGTATTCGTTATTGTTTTGCACAAAAGGATTCCCTGTGCCCTTTGAAATGTAAATGGGCCCACATCAGCATCATAATACCTCACATCCACAAAGTCAGTGATTGCTATAAATGGCTTATCTTTAGCCCAAACTATTTTTATCTCTTCCCCTTTCCACATAAGAAGCATCTGATATAGTGAGGAAGGTAGTACTCGTTGGCTTGGATCCAGTTCGACCTAAGAGGGCCTGATATTATGCTGTAGCATTGATCATGAAAAAGGCCATAAAAAATGATTTAGTCTCGACATTAACCTATAATGGTAATATGCCGAGGACCTTAGAGGCGGTCCTAGTGAATCTTACAACGGACATCTTGGTTGGCATCAGGTCTCGCTCTTCGTGCCCTATCTTAAGCATCATACAGGCTAACAATATGTTCATCACCGAGCCATTGTCCACTAGGCCTCTAGTCATTAGCTTCCCATCAAAATGTGCCGTAATGTATAAAGGCTTCAAGTGCTGGGTCATCTTAATGTATGGTTTTTCCAGGATAGCCTGCTTTAGCTTTCCTTCTATAGCTTGTAAGATGACTTAGCAGACAGGCTTCGTGGCCTTCTCTTTCTATGTTTGTGTCTTTATTAGTTCATACTTCTCCTCCTCCCTTGACTCCATTAGGTAATATTGATACGGGCTCGTGTATGTCGACCCTGAGGAGTTTTGTTCATACAGGTCTTGGGTCCTACTAGTGGTAGACTGAAACTGAGAAGGAAGTGTTAATGAAACCACACAGCAAAGATTAAGAGGTATCTCCCTAACATGAATGGTCCCGTCACATTGATTTTTATTCTCACTCCCCTTGTCCTGATTCTCGGTGGACTTCCTTCTAAACTTATTAGTTCCTTGCATGTCAGGGTCTTCCTGTACCTTAGTTTTTATTGAAGATGTCATTTTTGAGTCCTGGTTAAGGTAGCTGAGAACTTCTTGTCCCTCACAACTCTCCATTTCAGAGGTGGCATACTGTTAGGTAGCATAACAAACCTGCCTGAGCCCTTAGCGACTTTTAGTTTTGAAGGAAGCTCTATTGTGCTTTTTAATGGTGTTAATGGTGATAAAGATAGGCCTTTAGGGCATACATCCTGGTCTTCGATGTCCTAGTGAACGGTTCACTTGCTCTTGGTGATGCTAAGTACTTAATAAAGAAGTTAAATTTCCCAAACGGCTCCCTCAGACGGCTCTAGACTACCTTAGATCCATCTAGCTCTATCATTACTAATCCCTCGAGCCAATATCCCATCTCAAGAGTCGTTTGTTATTCTTCTTTATTCTGCTGGTTGTCAATGTCCAGGGCTTCTCCCAAGCAGTCCCAAACTACCTTGGAATTGTTCGGGCTCTTTACGCTTTACCCTTTCAAGCTAACGTCCCATCTAGAAGACTTGTTCCTGCTGGACCAGCTCGTAGGTTTCCTCAAGTAGTCCCATACTTCCCTTAAAGCTTTCTTGAGTTACTACTTCCCTGTTCAAGACATTCCAGGGCCTCCTATCTCTTTACCTACTATCATTTCTCTTAGTTCGTCATTTGCCAGAGTTTATCTCTACTATATTGATTATGGCAAATGGTAGGAAAAGGTCCTTGTCTACGACCATGGGTTCTTCCATAGGGAACTTTAGAACTCCCTTATTGATCTAGTCCTAGATAATATTTTTAAAACCCCAACATGCCTTGGTGTTATGACTCCATGAGTGATGGTACTTATAGTATTCCTTCCCTCTCTGCTCTTCTTTTGAAGGGATTTTATGATTAGTTTGCAGGGAGATGAAGTTTTCTTTGAGGAAAAAATCAAATATTTTCTCTATTTTGGTGGTGTCAAAGTGTACTGAATTGCATTCGGTCTTTTGGAAATCTCTCCGGCTTTCCTTATCAGGGTCGAGTATGTGTAGTAGCTTGTATTTTTTAGTTTTGTCACCGCCACATCAAGGTCACCAAAATAGGTTACTGCCGTAGTCTATCAGCAATGATCCTCTTCCTTGAGTAGTTTCTCGTATCCCCATACTTTGGCTGCGAGCTCGTAGAAATCTTGAAATTCCATCCCTTAAAACTTCTTTCAGAGCTCTATATCCAATCCTACTTATGCTAGCTTGACGAATTTAGTTTCTAGAAAAGGCACATGGCACCTACTCCTCAGTCGTTTGAACCTTACTAGGTATCAGCCTGCCGTCTCTCCAACCCATTAGGTAAGCTTACAAAGTTATGCTATGCTAACCTCCAGCTCTACCTTGTAGAACTGGATATAGAGCTTTTGCTCCATTTTCATCCAGTTGATGATAGAGTTACGGGGCAGAGAAGTATACTATGTGAATGCTAGGCCCATGAGAGTGTTCAAGAACAATCTCAGCTTTAAGTTGGCAAAGTTCTCATAGTTGGCAATCTCACCATATTGGATTGTGAACCTCCTAATGTGTTCCAGCATTGATTGCATTTTGTCCCTTGAGAACAGTATGAAGTCAGGGATCCTATATCCTTGAGGGTATAGGTTGTCCCTATCTATGTACTCCTGATATGGCTTCGAGAAGGTGGAGCGGCCAATTAGCCTCAGTCTTGGTTCGTATATATCCTGGATAACGTCCTTCAGGGCCTCCATGTTCACCAGTTAGTTCTGAGGCTCGTTCTGATGCTTTAGGACCATTGCCATGCCCCTCGAGCCACTCATGCTAGGCTCCTATAAATAATACAAAAGATTATTTAAAGGATTAGTGTAAGCAAAAATTTAAGGGTTAGGGATGTCCCTTACAAGTGGGCGGCCCTAAGGGCTAGCACCTATATTGATTCCTGCTTGCTGTCCTCTATACGGCCCTAAATTTAAGCCTCCTTATAAAGGAGTGCTTTTCAATGATGCTTCTATGTTCTTCATGCCATCATGCAGAGCTTGCATCATGATTTGCTGTCGTTCCTTCTCCTTACATTCTGACATTTCCAGGGACAATGTAAAGAACCTTTGGTTCTCTTCTAGCTACTTATCCATCTAGTCTTGAATTCCCCCACAACACTTTTTCCACGGGACTGTTGGATATGATCGGTGGATTAACTTGTCTACTTCCTAGCTTTGAGTTAGGGCTTGTGCTACTGCTGCCTGTCGACATTGACACTATAGGCTCACAATGCTCAGTTGCTTCAGCATCAGGCGCTAAGTGTTCTGGTGTGTGCAGAGGTCCCTTCTAGTTCGTGAGAACCGGCACCTATTTCATCAATCCTTTTGTCTTTTCTCGTCCTTACCATCTTTATTATACAAGTCCCACTAGGTGTGCCAAAAATTGCTCGTGGTGAACAACAAATACGAGGCCTGCCAGATACTCTAAGTCTCAATTGATAACAAAAGGGTCCAAAACTCCCTTTTCACAGTTCATTCGGATGTAAAAGATACAAAAGACTTTAGTAGAATTAGTGTTTAATTTTTATTGAAATACAAGAAGTTATAAGTCTAAATCAAAAGTAAAACTAACTAATAAAACTAAAGGTAAAATTTGTGTAAAAATGAGAATTTTTGATTAAGTGTTGATTGCTTTTTTTTTTTTTTTTGTGTCTTCATCTTCTATTTATAGTGTCAGAGTGGTGGTAACCTCTCCCTTAAGACCTAGCACATTTTGTCGAGGAATCAGGGATCTCGTGAAACTCATGGAACGGTCTTTATTCCATGTTTTTCATTTTTGGTAATTAGTCCGTCTCACTAAGATACTTGGGCACGATGTCCATGAATTCTGAAATTACTTGAGATCGTGTCTTCTTGCAACAACGGTTCGATGTTTATAACTGACGGGATTTCGACATGTTTATTTTATCGTGGCTTTTATTAAGCTTCGAGGCCGACCCTTTTATTCATATTGAGCCTGACTCTTTAATTATTTAGTCCAACTAATTTTATGAAATATTTGAATTACGTTTTATATTTTAGCCCGAACAATAATTAAATAAAATCACTTGCAAAAGCGGTGGGACTTCGAGGAAGAAAAGGACGAACCAAAGAAAATAATGCTATGGAAAGAAAAGAAAAGAACAAATAAAAGGGAGCGAACAATGTAAAAGTAACCTGTTAACCTCTTTTGCGTCAACGGTCCAACATTAGAATCCTTCACGTGAACCACTTATAATGTGGCTTTGCAAAAAGTATACTTCTTTTGATGGGGACGGCGCATGAAAAAGGGAATGGAACAAAAACATATTTTATTGATGTGTGATCGGCAAAAAGAGAAAAATGAAAAGGAAAAGAAAGCATACAGTACCGTGTCAGTTTTGTTTCGGGGCGAGTTCTTCTTTCTCTTGCTTCATACGACAAGGCCATGAACAACAATGTGGAAAAATTCTTGCATAGATATCATTTATGCCCGATTAAAAAAAATTATATCAATTTAATTAAATAAAATTTTATGTGTTATTATTTTTAATGACTTTATTTTATAATAAAATATTTATTTAATTTTTTATATTTTTTCTTTATTATTATTAATGTTATAATTAATTTATATTTAACACCATTTAAATATTATATTTTTAATTTGATGAAGTATGAATAACGTGATGCAACAAATTTGTACAAGAATTTATCCAGCGGTGTTAGGGTTTAGGCTTTGATTCCCAAACCACTCAGGAAATTCACTCCAATAACAGACTCAGCTTTTGTAAGAAAAATATAGGTTAAGCTAGTGCACTAAAAACATAAATAGAATATATGAAAAATATATCAAGTAAAGAAAATAAGACAACACACAATTTTTTAACGCTAAAAGCTCTCTCAACGCGAGAGATGAAAATCATGGAACCAAATCCATATAAAACTTTACAACATAATCATTAAATCAATTCGTACAACAATGAGTTCAAGGGCTGTTAACCACATCCCTACACTTTCTGTTTTTTTTTTTTTTAAAAAACTCTATTATTACTGACTATCAACTTAGTGAAAATCACCCTAACGATAATACACAACTCAAGATATACACACATAACAACCCAGCCACTAAATTTGACTTTTCGTCCAAAAAAAAAAACTACTAATTTTGACTCCAGAATTTTTTTTGAAGGAAATTTGAATAAGTCTCCAACAGTCAGAGTTTTTGTTTAAGATGAATTCCCAACAGTAGTGTGGTTTTCATAAAATTGGATAAACAGGAAGACCACTTGATGTCCATATTTTCCAGTTGTTTCCTTGCTTTCATTTGTGTTTCAACCATGCCTGACACCTCTTTCTTCACTTCCTCAAACTCCATTATGAATCTTATGTCATCAGAAGCACTCTTCTTGTCTTGCTCTTCAAGATACAACAATTTGATCTTAAACTCCTCAATTTCCTTTTTCTTGCTATCCAGTTCAGCCTGTAACTTAGAGATATGCTCATTTAGCTCTGCTTCCTTTAGTTGAGCTTCAACCATTGAATTCTCAGTCCTGCAAATTTCAGATAAAGTGGCAGCGGCAGCTTCTTTTCGTTGTGAGTGTTGTTCAATCATAAGCTTCTCTTTTTTTTGAAGCTTGGTGAATGTCTCCATGGTGTCATAAGCTTGGTTGAAGGAAGAAAAAATACTTTGGATTTCATGATGCATAGAGTCTATTGCATCTTGAAAAAGGCTATGAGAGGGAGGTCCATCTTCAGAACAATATGAGGACAAGATGGTGAGAGCTTTCTCAAGGCCAAGTCTGTTTTCTTCTGAGGTAGCTATTTCATTTAAACCCATCTTCAATGAGGCTACCAAGTCAGCAAGGGCCTTAGCCACCTCATCATGATGTTGAAGATCAGCAATGACTTTATGAACATAAGGCATGTAGACTTCCATATCAGCACCTTCCTTTGTTATTTGGAATAATCTCATGTGATCATGTTCTTCATATTGTTCAGACTTCTTGCCAAACTTATTTTCTTCATCAGTCCAAGTCTCATCCTGGAGTAAATCAGAATAGACGAAGATCATTCTCACCAATAGAATTAATTACAAGCATGAAATATCTTGTACTATGTCTATATTTAACTCAGGTAAATTAAAAATAAATGTATAATGTATTCAACATTCATACATACATACGAGTTGATGTCATCAAACTGTACTTTCTTTCAGCATCAGTACATAAAATTTTAAAGAAGAAAAATTGTACATCCTAAAACTAATGCAGTAAACCAAGACTTACTTGTGCCGATTCAGTAGTTGCTGAAATATCTGGTAGGTCTGAATGTGAGCTCTCTAGTTCTAAGGGAGTAGTTGCAGTTTCTATTTGAGGCTTGTCATGAGCAGAGATTGAAGGGACCTAAGACCACAAAGCCAGAAAAATTAATCTCAACAAAAATCAATAAAGTAACAACAGTGCCAAAGTTAATGGAGGGAAGCGATAAAAGTACTTATTTACCCATTGAGAGATCATTTGTGTATTAGTTGATGGACTTACTTTGTGAACCAAATTAACCTAAACAAACATAAATCAACAAAAACCATCACAAAGCATTTAGTATAAACTTGACTCGTATCAGGAAGGCCCGTATAGATTCATACATGCGGAGATTTATTTTCTGGAGGAACAACGGATTTTGTTGGGACTGTGTTGTTTAAATCTGAATGCATGATTTGATCAGTTTTGCCAGCTTCATCTAATTTAGAACCTTCTCGAACACTTGGCTCCATTGTTTCCTTAGCAATCTGTTGCATAGCACATATATGGTACATAGTAAATTAGTTTGAAATCTACTTTAATGCCATCTCTTCAAAAGCTATGTTCTTTAATGTGTTTTAGCGCACAAAATTAAAAATTCTTGATTTACTTGGAGCAAATGGATAGGACAATAAGGTAAGAGAGAAATCATTAGTTGGTTTTTTATTTATGCTTGATTATAGATAACTATAATAACTCCGCTTATGTTTATAGCCGGTCTCAAGCCCGGGTAAAGGAGGAGGGTTGTGTTAGACCATCAACAGCTAATGTAAAACTTTGTTGAATCTATCATGAACATGGACAATAGACGTTATAATGTTAATACTAGGTCGTTGCCCGTAAGTAACGCGCTGCATGGCTCGAGTACAGTGATAAGTGAGTTAGAGCCGCTGCATCGGCACCTGGATGTAGTGTTAAATGAGCAAGGGCTACCACGTCATTCTGGACGCACGCGGCTAAAGAAGTTAGTCCATAAGAGCAAAATTAGATTTGATACTTGAAATCTTGGGACATTAAATTGTAAATCTGTAGAGGTTGTAGGGGTTATGATTCAAAGGAAAATCAATATCCTTTGCCTGCAAGAAACAAAATGGCGTGGAGAAGAAGCTAAGGATATTCAAGGTTTCAAACTTTGGTATACAGGAAAAGTAAGTGCACGCAATGGAGTAGGCATCATTATAGATAAGGAGTGGAAGAAGAACGATGTAGAAGTTAGCAGAATTGGAGACAGAATTATTTCTTTAAAAATGATAATTGGACGTGAGACTGTTAATATTGTTAGTGCTTATGTGCCACAAGTCGGGACAGAAGCCAGTCTTAAGAAATTATTTTGGAAGGATTTGGAGGGGTTGATTCGACACATACCACAAAGTGAAAAGATTTTTATTGGAGGAGACTTTAATGGGCATGTCGGAAGGGAAGCTAGTCAGTATGCGAGGGTGCATGGTAGTTTTGGTTTTGGAGAGCTAAACAACGAAGGACAAACTCTTCTTGATTTCTCATTGGCGTATGATTTTAAGATTGCCAACACTTGTTTCAAGAAAAGAGATGAGCATCTCATCACTTACAAAAGTGGAGCCTCAAGGTCACAGATTGATTTTCTTTTGGTTAGGAACACAGATAGAAGACTTTGTAAAAATTGTAAGGTGATCCCCGGAGATGCTGTAACGACACAACATAGGGTCCTAGTCCTTGATGTGTGTATTATGAGTAAAATCCAAAAACGTCGACAAGTAGTAGCACCAAGGATTAGATGGTGGCAATTAAAAGGTGAGAAGCAAGATATTTTCAAGCGAAATCTTTTGGATAAAGGAATTTAGGAATCTCAGGGAAATGCTAACATCATATGAGAGGATATGGCTAAAAAGATACGGGAGGTTGCAAAAGTAGTTTTGGGAGAATCAAAAGGTTCTGGTCCGAAAGATAAGGAGTCTTGGTGGTGGAATAATAGTGTACAGGACAGAATCAAGTATAAGAAGAACTGTTTTAAAGCCATACATTTGTGTAACAATGAAGAAAATTGGAAGAGGTACTGTATGGCTAAGAAAGAAACTAAGAGAGCTGTGGGTGAAGCTCGTTCTAAAGCTTTTGAAGAATTTTATAAGAGCCTTGAGACGAAGGAAGGAGAGCGAAATATTTATAAGATTGCCAAGAGTAGGGAAAGAAAATCAAGAGATCTAGAACAGGTAAGGTGTATTAAGGATGAAGAGGGAAGAATTTTAGTTACAGATGATGAAATTAAAAATAGATGAGAGACTTACTTTTCTAAACTTTTCAATGATGGAGAGGATTCCTCTAGTAACTTGGAGGATTTAGTAACTGATGAAGGAGAACAAAATTTATCATTCTATCGAATAATACATGATAAGGAGGTAAAGGAAGCTCTTAAGAAAATTGCAAATGGTAGAGCCAACGGACCTGATTGTATATCTATCGAAGCGTGGAAATGTTTAGGTGAAGAAGGGGTGAGATGGTTAACTAAGTTATTTAATGTGATTTTACGGTCCAAGAAAATGCCTGATGAGTGGAGGAGAAGTACATTAATTCCTATTTATAAAAATAAAGGAGATATTCAAAATTGTACTAATTATAGAGGGATTAAACTCATGAGCCACACAATGAAATTGTGGGAGAAAGTAATTGAGCACAGGTTGAGATTGGAGACAAGCATTTCTGAGAATCAATTTGGTTTTATGCCAGGTAGATCAACTACAGAGGCGATTTATCTACTAAGGGGATTAATGGAAAAGTATCGCTGTAAAGATAAAGATCTACACATGGTTTTTATTGATTTGGAAAAAGTTTATGACCGTATACCAAGAGAAGTGCTTTGGAAAGCGTTGGAAAAAGAGAGTACGGATTGCTTATATTAAAGCCATACAAGATATGTATGAGGGGGTAAAAACTAGTATAAGAACGCCTAGTGGTCAAACAAAAGATTTTCCTATAAAGATTGGACTACATCAGGGATCATCTATGAGTCCTTATTTGTTCAACTTGATCTTAAATGTTTTGACGGAACATATTCAAGGAGAAATTCTAAAATGTATACTCTTCGCGGATGATATAGTTCTTATAGCAGAGACAAGAGAAGAGGTTAATTGCAAACTTAAGTTATGGAGGAGGACATTAGAGTCGAAAGGTTTTCGTCTGAGTAGAAGTAAGACGGAATATTTATATTGTAAATTTGGTAAAGGACTATTCGACAATAATTTGGAAGTGAAATTGGGAGATCAAATTATACCTCAAGTGGAAAAGTTTAGATATTTGGAAGCCATTATTCAAAATGATGGCGAAATCAGTGGAGATATTTCACATAGAATTCAAGCTGGGTGGTTTAATTGGAGAAAAGCTAAAGGAGTTATTTGCGACCGTAAGGTGTCTAATAAACTTAAAGAAAAGTTTTATCGCACTGCCGGCAATGTTATATAGTAGTGAATGTTGGGCTCTAATAGGACAGCAAGAGCATAAAGTTGGAGTAGCAGAGATGAGAATGTTTCGATGGATGTGCGGACATACACGTAAAGATAAAATTCGAAATGAGCACGTACGCGAAAAAGTGAGGGTGGCACCTATTAAGGAAAAAATGGTAGAAAATCGGTTGAGATGGTTTGGGCATGTACAAAGAAGACCACAGGAGGCACCAGTGAGAAGAGTGAAACATATAACTTTGAGTCCGATTAAGAGAGGTAGAGGAAGGCCTAAGAGAACACTCTTAAAAGTTGTTGAACGCGATCTCTTAATTAATAATATTCCTAAAAGCTTGATAGATGATAGAGCACAATGGTGTCATGCAATCCATGTAGCCGACCCCACCTAGTGGGATAAAGGCTTGTTATTGTTGTTGTATGGATAACTATAATATGTGTACAATATTGTCCAAATCTGGTGAAGCATTGTTCTGTTTTGGCATTGTCAAGTCTTTTTCAACAATCTCTTGTGATGCTTCTTTTTCATTGTCAACAATAATAGAATATAAAAAGAAGTAAAAGAGTTGTTCGACCGAAAAAAAGGAAGATTGGAGGTTATTAATAAAGATATTAATAAAATCCTCTTTGAACTAGTTCTTGCTGACCAATCATGATAGTTTCATTCTCAGCTTTTTTTCCTGGCAAACTTATCCTTCATGATCATGAATATTAAAAAATCTGTCTAAATCTAAGTCATTTAATTTATATAAAAAAGGTGATAATCTTACTTGTGGAGATTCAATTTGAAAAGGACTAGAAAACGGTGAGGGTATGTTGCTAAGCTTCGAATCCATGACTTCATCTGCCAACACAGCCTCCTCTGAGTTTTGACTTTTTAGAACGCTTGTCTCCTCCACTGTTTCCTTAGTTTGTGTAATGATAATAAACAACAAATTAAGAAGTGATTAGTTTGCTGTGTCAGGCTGTCAGCATCAAAAACTCCTATTGACTCATAAAAAGAACATAATCATTACTCTTAAGCCATTTTCACTCCCACATTGCCACATGATTCAAAAATTCTCAATGAACATACAACTGAAAGCACTTGTTGAGGAAAGACCCTCATAATATCCAAATCAGATGATGGAGTTATTGCTGCTGCATAAGAAATACAACATTGATATCGCATAAAATATGAATGTGTTTCTAAAGATTTTCAAGACCCTCTTTAGATGCTTCTTCACTCTAAGCAATCTCAATTAAAAGATATAAAAAGAGATAAAAATGAGTTGAAGTCATTAATACACTTTATAAATCTTAGCTCACAATTAACATCCCCCATATGGGCATGAATATTCAAAAGATCACTGCATCAATTTGTATGTAATAAAGGTGATAATCTTACTTGTGCAGTTTCAACTTGTAAAGGACTAGCAAATGGTGCTGGCATGGCTCTGTGTTCTGAATCCTTGACTTCATTTGATATTCCTGCTTCCTCTAATTTTGGACTTCCATGAACACTTGCATCTACTTTCTCCTTACTCTATGACACAAGGAACCACCAAGAAATAGGTTAGTTTGATGTCAGCTTCAACTTCGTAGGAGTTAATGAGCATGGATTTGAGATTTTTTAGTTCATAAGGAGTTGATGAACTCACTGTGTCATGTTTCTCAGATGAAAGACCTTCTCCTATAGTTGCTTCAGCTTCCTGCATAACACCAAATGACATGTAAGTTTGATATTTCTAATACACTTTGTCAGGAAGGACCATATTCTTACATGTGGAGATTTATTTCCCCGTGGAGTTATAGATGCTGTTGGTGATGCATTGCTTGATTTTGAATTCATGATTTGATTTTCTTTGATAGCTCCATCTAATTTCGAACCTTTTTGAACACTTAGCTCCAATCTTTCCTGAGCAATATGTTGCATCGCATAGAGTAGTAAATCAGTTTACAGTTAGTCAGTGCCATCTCTTCGGAAGCAACATTCATTAATTGCTAAAGTTGTAATGTAAAACCAAGTGGCGCATTTGAGGCTCCTATAAACTCCTAGAATTAGATATTGAGTTATCACTTCTGATGTATCACAAATAGGAACTTGTTCAATTTTACCACAATATAGTTGATGAAAGCTCAATAAATACACTAAGGAAAGTACTTGTTGAGAAATGACTCTCACCATATCTAAATTAGATGAAGTTGCCGCTGTATGTGAACTAGAAAGCTGTTGTTCAACAAATTCATTTGTTGAAGCATCAGTATTCTGTGCAACCATAAAATATGTTTTTAGTCACCAAAGAATGATTTATTGATTACTCAAGATGAAACTATTTGTTGGTTTGAGTCTGTGTTATTATAGAAAAGCACAACGCATAGACCTTCGCCATATTTAGCATATCACTGTTCTGTTTGTGTGCAGTGGAGTCTTTTTCAACAATCTCCTTTGATGTTTCTTCACTCTATACAGCATCAAAATATATATGAAAAGAGATAAATCGTGTTTTGAAGTTGTTAATGACCATAATAAATCTTAGCGCACAAAATAAAAAAAAATTATTGATTTTTCAGAACCAATGAATAGGACAATAAGGTAAGAGAGAAACCATTTTAGTTGGTTTCTTAAGTCTAGTTGATTATACTAATAAAGTATAATACACGCACATCTGCCAAATTTGGTGAATCATCATCGTTCTGATTTGGCATTGTTGAGTCTTTTCTGAGATCCTCTGGCGATCCTTTTTCTTCAGTCTAAACAAAAATAGTAGATATAAAGAAGTAAAATAGTTATTCACTCAACAAATAGGAAAGTAAAAGGGCTGGAGTCATTTATAAAGATTGGAATGACCCTCACAAATGACCCTACTAATGATAGAACCTCAATTTATTTCCACTTCCACATTGCTAAATAGTTTGCAGAATCTCAATGAAAATACAAGTGAAAGTATTTGTTGAGGAATGATCCTCACAATATTTTAATCAGATGATGAATTTGTCATTGCACTATTAGAAAAGTATTTGCTGAGGAATGAGTTGCTAAATAATTAAGTTCATTAACAAGCATATCATACATTTATTGAGAGAGAAACCGTTTTGTTGGTTCATGAGACTGCTTTGTTGCAATGAAGCATAATGTTTACCTCAGAACAGTAGTTCTGCTTGTGTATCGTGGGGTCATTTTCAGTAACCTCCTTGGATGTCTGTTCACTCTAATCAATCACAAAACATATAAAGAGAGATAAAATTAATTGAAATCTAATAAACGTCATAAATCTTAGCGCAGCAGAAAAAAATTTCTAGAAATATTGACATCATTCTAAAATTTGGAAGAATCCAAGAGGACAATAATTAAGAGAGAAAAAAATTTAGAAAAAGTATAATGTACATACATTTGCTGGTTCTGGAGAACTATTGTTCTGTTCTGATATTGTCTTCTCTCTCTCAAGAGCTTCCTTTGATTCTTTTTCTTCTTCTTCTCTCTAAACAAAGATACAAAGAAAATAATGAGTTCAAGTCACTAATAAAGATAGGAAAAGTTGTTGATCCATTGATTTCTACCAAAATTAGTGGCAAGGCACATTTTTATCTATGTATTAATGATCAACTTTATATATTTTATTAAAGTTTGGTTTAAAAATTATCATTTGTTGTTTCCTTGTCCTCTTGTTTATTTTTCTTTCACCCAATTATGCCAGTTTATCGTGTTTTGGTACTGACCTTGATAGCCCAGTGAAGAATGTCATATCTGCAGGGGTAGCCTTCATCAGCAAAGTTTGTCTGATCATTTCGTAATGTCATATAAACATCATATACTGCCCAAACAAAACAATTTCATTATAGGAGAACAAATGATAGCAATTAGCAATTGTATTAACTCTCTGTGTGAGCGCTTGAATACTTACATTCACTGGAGCTGGCATTAGCTGAAGTTAAAGTAACATTGGGACACTTTTGCACAAGACGGATTTTCACATTTTGAAAATCAATTCCTTGACAGATAGTATGAAGACTTGGTAGATTTATCAGCTTCAATGCAAATAGCCTTGGAAGCACATCCTTCATGAGCTCTTTTGGCATGCCCTGCTCCCATCCAAATACTTGCCCAAGCTCAGGGGCATCTTCTATGATCAAGATCATGAGTTGTGGAAGCTTGCCACATTTGGACATAGACAATATGCATCTCAACTTCTTGCAATGCCTTACTTCAATTTTACTTAGCTCTGGGAAACATTCTCTGCTTATTTCATTCTCTTCATCCTCAATGATGCTAACTAGCTCTCCACAGTTTGATACGATGAGGCATCTCAATTTTGGCATGCTTCTTGAGGTAGATGCAGACAATATAAATTTCAATCGTTTGCATCCTTCCATTTCTAGCGTGGAGAGATTTCGAAAGCTCAGATAACTTTTAGGCCCCATGCTTTTATCCCTAAAATCAGTCACCTCTTGCTTGTCAGAAAGAGGCTTACCTTTCTCCTTGAGAGATAATGCCTGTAAATATGATCAAGATACGTTAGTACCAAAGATTCTTTTTATGCGACAACTTATATATAATGAAAAAATAAGTTGGAAACAGGTTCACCTTTTTCCTTGAGAAATCTTGTCTTTTATGTCCACCTTCCAAGAAATCTGTAAGAGTTCGTATGAGAAGTTGTGCACATCCTTCCAAACTGATACATTCTACATATAATGCTTTCACATGATAGTTTTCAGTGCAAATATGAACCATATTGGGTACATCAATAAGGTATAGATTTTTTAGAGCAGGGAGATTAAGTTCAATCTGATCACTATGATTTTGATCAGCATGACATTTTCCGAACACATATTTCAACCTTTCAGCTTTTGCAATGTCCACATATTCCAAATCCTTTAAGTCTTTCGAATAAAAAGCTGGAAATATATATTCCAAATGGTTACAACTATCAACAATAACACGTTGTAATTTGGGAAAGACAGAGCTGCCATTTATATGATCATGACCATGCCCCTCGTCAGTTACTATGTGCTCCAATGCATTGCACTCCTTGACTTCCAATCTTTCCAACAATTTTAGTGATGAGGCAATGGATAGGGTAAAGAGTGATGTTAAGTCAGAAGATCCAGTTATCTCAATCTCTCTCAAATTGCAGTGATATGAAGTTGGTGTGAAATATTCATGAGTTGTACTGGGAATAGACTTCGCCTTTGATGCCTGAATTATATAGAAGCGTGTGATAAGTTTTCAGCATTTTAAATACTTCAATAAATGAAAAGTGTCTGGATAAAAAATATAAGTGAAACAGTGAAATATAGGCAACAAAATTTCGTGCTTAAAAATTTATTAAAGTCTAGTCTGATGTGATAAACTAACTTGTAAGCTATCATCACACGGCCTATGTTTGCACAGACACACGCATGCAAAATATGAAAATCATCACACGCATACGCACGCACACAAGTATAAGACATGAGAAGCAGAAATCTTCACAAAATCACAAAATTTTTTTGGTGTTACTAGGAGTTTTCACATCCATTTATCATAGACATCAGAGTATGGAAATCTAAATTTTATCTACATTGATGTTCGGGTTTTAAATTGTGCAAATAGGATATGTTAATGTTTATATTGTTTTGAATATAAATCAATCTTAGACTAGAAAACCAAGTTGGAAAGAGGCTTACCTTTATCCTTGAGAGATCTGGTCTTTTTCGTACATCAACTGATAGATCTATAATAGTTTTTAAGGGAAGTTGGGGGCATTTTTCCAAACTAGTTCCTTGTAGAGATAATGCCTTCACATAATAGTTTTCGGAGCAAATACTAATCATATTTGGGACATCATCAAGGTACAGTTCCTTGAAAGCTGGGAGATTAAGTTCCATATGAACATTATGCTTCTGATTGGGGTGACGTTGTCCGAACACATATTTCAACTTTTCAGCCTCGCTGACTTTGATCCGCTGTAAGTTGGGAAAGATAGAGCCAGTAGAGCTGCCATTCATGTGATAATGACCATGCCACTCGTCTATCACTATCTGCTCCATTGCATTGCAGCTTATTACTTCCAATTTTTCGAGCAAATTCAATGATGAGGCAACGGATAGATTAAAGAGTGACTTTAACTCAGAAAATCCCTCTATCCTCATCTTTCTCAAATTTTTATATGGGTAGAATGGCGGTGTAAAAAGGCCATATGCTCTATTCACAACATTCTTCTCCTTTGATGCCTGTATTACAGAAATGTCAGATCTTCTTTCACAAATTTAAAAAGTATGTGTTCATATGTTACATTACAAAATTAGAAGAGCACTTTAGAAATTGAAATTGAAATTTCTCCTATTTGTTTTTCTAGAAAACTTACTTGTATTATATTTGAATTTGAAAATTTGGATGCTAAAATTATTTTACATGTACTACATTTCAGAATCATACTAACAGAAAAGAGTGTGAGATAAGTACCTGTGTATGGTCCGGTTGTATGGACTCGGACAAAGCTGGGTCATCTCTACTTAAGGCACTTGATTTTGGCAAAAAATAGCATAGATTGCCCCATGATTTCTTCACTTGGGAAGGCTGTGGGAGATAACATTCTGCATATATGTTGATGAATTTCGGTGTGTTTGCAATTTTTATTCCTTTTAGTATAGGGAGCATGATTTCTTTTTCCATTTGATACAGTCCTCCCTCCTCAGGACATTGCCCAAATATGTATTTTAGCTCATTACACTCATAGATTTTCATACTTTCTAGCTCTTTACAAGAACAAGTTGGCAATATAAATTTTAATCCATGACATTCTCTAACCTCCAGAAACTTCAATCTTGAGAAAATTGAATGATAGTTCTTTTGATTTGGATCTTGATGATCATTCACTTTTTGCAGCTCTGCCAATCCCTCATTACTTATTAGGCATTCCAGCTTAGAACATCCTCTTATGTATACATTTTCTAATTGCTTTAGACTCTGAGTTGTGGATGGATGGAAAAGACAAGTCATTGAACAATCCACTACTTCTATATACTTGAGATTAGCCAACTCTAGTTTGCCCTTGAATAATGTGCCTTCTAGTTCAACACATTGACTTAAGCCTAGCTTCTCAAGTTGCTTGAGAAAGTCATTAGGATAATCACCGCGGCATAATTCCCTGACATGCATATCATGAAGTTGCAGCTCAACTAAATTGGAGAAGATAGTTGCATCAGAATGAATGTCATTTGTACAAATTAGACACTGTATTGCAGGCCAAGATCTCAAACAAAGCCTACTTAAGTCATTCATGCCTCCGTCTTCTATATGAATCATATCAGGAATAAGATTTGTCCATCTTGTTTCATCACATTCTGTTAACTCAAGAATCTCTGCTCTTGCTGCCAAGGATTTTACTGTGCTTTCAGACAAGATCCCTTTTAACGTGGTTGAATTGAAATATCTTTTTATTGAACCATCCAATTGAAAAGAACACCAAGAGAATTCGCCTTCTATATGATATATTCCAAATTCTTGAAGAACTGTAATTTTAGAAGGCTTTGCATCAATGTTAAGATTGACATCATTTGAAAGATAATACAATACTTCTAACTTGGAGCATCTTCCAATCACTTCAAATGGATTATTCCTTTCAACTGAACAACGTACCAAGCCTAGCAATCTCAATTTCTCCAGTCGGCTGACATCAGTTGGAAGTTCGGTAATTGAACAATCAGTCAATTCAAGTGTCTGGAGTTTTTTTAGGTTTTGCAAAATAGATATATCACCTAACTTCCAATTTGTTAGAGACAGTGTTTGGATATTTTCTAGAGATTGAATTGATTTTGGTAGTGATGAGGCCAAAGTTCTCCCAGACATTATCCTTGAATACAAAAGCAAAACTCTAAGTCCCTTCATGCTATCAAAGAATGCATCTGGGACTTCCAAAGAACCATTTGCATTTACCCATACTAGAAGAACCTCAAGTTTGCTACCCTCAAAATAGTTGGAAAAGTCATTTATGATCCAAGATGAATATTTGACATTCTCCTTCAATTTTGTCTCCGAATCCATGATTACTTGAACCTTTTCATCCGCTATCTGTTGGGCCACATCACGAATCACATCATGCAGCTTCACATATCCTTCTTGAGCAGTCAACAATAAAGCAGAACTTACAAGTATGGTTTTAATTGAAAGAACTTGACTTCTTGCTATACAGTAGCTGTCAACATTTCCACAAAGTCCCGAGCCTATCGCAATTCTGCTTAAAAGCTCTACTGATATATCATAAGCTCTTGGAAATATAGAACATAAAAGGAAGAGATCTTGGGCTCTTGCATCTAGATAATTGAAGCTTAATCTCAAAGAATTATAAAACTTCTTTGCTTCTTCATCAGCATTCCCGTACCTTAAGGATGCATCTTTTTCTGTTGCTGCAAAAGCATCCTCCCATTCTTTCGGATCTTGGTTTCTTAAGGTTTTTGCTACTGCCACAACTATAATAGGTAATCTTCCACACTTGTTCACAATCTTTGATGCCGGCACCTTCACTCTATCACGACAATCATTTCCACTCTCAATAGCATGAGATAAGAAAAGATCCACCGCATCTTCCTCAGCTAATTCCTCTAGTTTAATTGTCTTTTGGCATCTCATGCTTGAACAAACTGTCCCATTACGTGTGGTTATCAAAATACAACAGCGACCATGGGTATGGATGCCATGGTGAATCCCTATGTTCTCAAGCTTGAGCTCTTTCCAGACATCATCAAGAATTATGAGTACATTTCCAGCGCTAGCAATTCTACTCCATATTTGTTCTGCATGTGTGCGTTCTTTATCATCTTTTAACCCCAAATCCAATTTCTTCGCAATCTCATCTCGAATCTTTTTTTCATCAATAGGGTTGGGAACCTCGATAAAGATAACTTTATCAAATGCCTTTGAATTCTCAACTTCCTTCCCAACTTCTTTTGCCATTGTTGTTTTTCCTGATCCTCCCATTGCTTGCAATGCGATCCTGCATTTATTTCCATCTTTCAATTCCTCCCTAAGCTGTTTAAATTTCGAGTCTCTACTTTTAAAATGCATGAACTCTTGGGAATAGAATTCCATGCCTGGATGTTTAGCTGCATGAGCAACTTGAGAGAAGTTCTCGACTTTCTCCACTATTGTTGGAATCTCCTGCGTCATGCTCTCTAATTCCATGGCCAATGAACATTGGGAAAAGCAATCAGTACAGAAACCAAACCATTTTTTTGGTCTTGTTTCTCGTCCAATAAGTTGTTTGGCTCTTCGAACCCAGTGCTCAACCATAGGGTCAATTTGAGTCTCGTTTCTTGTCTTGGCTTCTTCTATCTTTATGTCCACACTCCTCACCATGGCTGACAATTCTAATTTTTTCTGTTCATAGTCAGCGGCATAACTCTTGTAACAACACAGATATTGAAGTTCCTTCATCACTTTATCTAGCAATACTTCAGTACACTTCGTTGCAGCGCCGGCCCCGATCTCAGCTGCCATCTGTCATGCATAATGAGATTACAATTACAAAAACAACTAAATCATGATTCCTAATCCAAGAATTCAGTAGCTTACAAAAGAAATCATGGAATCAAAATCTCAAATTTCATTTAGTATAAAATAATTGCAACCTCTTTATTTTGCTTGAAAGAATTCGTTTGTATAATTTATAAGTACAAGAGACTCTCTCTTATAATATATTAGTCTTCTAAGGTAAATTGTTCATTTGAACTTGTGCTCAAACGTAAGGTTGGGTTCTAATAAGTAGGTGTAGGGTTCTGGCAAGTAGATCTAGGTTTTTAAATGATACATTATCACAAATCTTACGTCAGGGAGCCACAAAAGAAAAATATGGTTTTAAAATATAATAAGCTCTCTCTTTTAATGTGCTAGTATTTTGAAATAACTATTTAAATATCCTTGTGGAGAACTATTGAGCACACAAGAACTAATGTATCTTCTAATATCTTTGTGGAGAATTATCTTCAAATATCTTATGATTATTATTATTATTATGATTATTATTACAATGATGAACTCATCCTTTATCCACCTCATTTGAATTCTCAAGCTACCCCTTTATCGTCACTAATTATCTTTTGCTTTCTACTTGTCGCTTCCAAATTTATGACTTGCAATGGTAACTTTCATCTTCACCGTTGAAATTCTTTCTTGGAAGCGAGGATTTCATCTAAGGACTATAGATGTGACATATTTTTAAATTAAGCTCAACACAATCTGATATTTCATTACACAATCTGATATTTCATTTCAAATATTAGGCCTGGATTGAAATAGAATTCTAAAACAAAAGCACCAAAATATATCTTTCAGGCATATTGTAGCATAACAAGAAACACGACAGAATTTACAAGTAAAATAAAGCTCAATGTTGAAAATTTTCTTTTTTATGTCACCAATTAATGTCAGGTTTACAAAAAATTGAGGTTAAAAAAAGGCAGCAGCACACTTGAAATTTTGAACAATACATTTAATGTCGATTTTGATAACCGACATTAAATATCATTACCACGTTTGTTGTACCAAGAAAAGATGTGGTATCTATATATATATATATAAAAGTAGAACAACAAGCAGCATTTTGAAAATGACATGTATCCCTTATACAATTTTGATTTATTTATTTTTTAACTTTTAAACATAAATAAAACTAAAACTACCTTCCCCAAATATCTCTACATTATACCAACTCCTCATTAATTAATTTATTTATAATCTCAAAATTTCTAAATTTAAAATAATAAAAAATTATTTATACCTTTCTCATCTCGAAAAATCATTCCATCATCCAAACTTTACAACTTCTTATTTATAATTATAAATTTTAATTTTAAAATTTCCATTTCAAAACTATTGAAAATTTGAGATTTTAATTTTAAACATTTGTTGAAATTATAACTAGATTTATATTTAAATTTTAAAAATATTAGTAAAACCACAAGGAGCATCCTCTCAATGACATGTATTTTTGATGTAATTTTGCTTTATTTGATTTTTAATTCTTAAATATAAATAAAACTACCTCACCTCTCTAATATCTTTACATTATCTCAACTTCTCATTAATTTATTTATTTAAAATTTTTAATTTGTAGTATAAAAGAATAACAAATTTATGTATATCCTCCTCATTTTCAAAAAACAAATCTATCCATTATCCAAATAGACCAACTTCTTACCCATAATTTTAAATTTTAATTTTAAAAATTTTGATTTGTAAATTTATTGTGAAATTTTAATTTATATTTTAAAATTTCATGAAATTACTCATATTTTAAAATTTCATGAAATTAGTATAATTTTAATTTTGATTCTACTCATAATTTAAAGTAAATATAAAACTATCTCACCCCTAAAAATCTCTACATTATCTCAACTTGTCAAGCCACATTAGCTTTAAATTTAAAGTTGAATTTAAATTTTTAATTAACCCTAACATGTCTAATGTGGGTAGTGTAGTTATATGAGATAAAGTGGTTGCAGAATAAGGTGTTAAATGGTGTTCAATTTTTCCTAACATGAGTTCGTTGCATTGATTTTCACTTATTGTGAAAATTACAAATTTATAACTACCATTTTCATTTTATAACTCTTACAATTTGAAGGTCACGGACTACATGCCTTCCTTTTTGTAACCATCGATGGAGACCAACCATCTTCTACAAGTTCAAAGGTAAAATTTTCTATTTGAATTCTCAAAATTCTCTCTCATTTTATCAAACAAGATTTATTTTTTATTCTCGATGACTTTGATTTCCTGTGCAAGTCAAGTTTGTTTTGAGATCTCATCCTCTACCATAAAGACTAAACTAAAAATGCCAAAGTCATAATTTCTCAAACTTTATTGTGAATTTCTACCATTTTCCTTTGAAATATATATGAATATTTTCTAATTATAGTTATTATTGATGCATTTAAGGTGGAGATAAAAATGATGGAGAAAGTGCTCAGGCTTTGCATCACATGAGCATGAGTCTATCTTATTCTATGACTTTGGTTTTGTTTCATTCAACTATGAGTTTGAAGATCTAGACTTGGATCATATTATTCTTACAAACTCTGTTCATATGCTTATTTTGTTGATTTACGTGTTATTCAAGTGATTGTTAGCTTTGTATTTTGGTCATTAAGATAGAAAAACAAATAAAGAAATTTGCATATTTTGCCATAAATGAAAATAAATAAATGGATTTTTTTATATTAGAAATATGTGTTTTACTTTATTTCTCTTTTTAAATTCATCTTTAAACATTATTTGTTGTATCAATTCCTTCAAGTTCATCAAACCATCTATAATTACTTTTTTCATAACCACATTTCAATGTTTGTCGTTTCTTTTCCTTTAGCTTCAAGGTTCAATGTCAACTCATTAAACACATTTGGGATATATTGTAATTTGGTTTTTTTCTTATTGTGAAGTAATTGCATAGTTTTCAATTTTTATTAAAAAATTGTATTAAGCGACATTGAATATGAGAATGTAATAGTTTTTTTTTTTTTTATATCAACTAAAATGTCAATACACCTTTAGAGTCCATATATATTTAAAAAGTTCATAGGTAAGGAACAATTGTTCAATGTAGCCTTTTTTAGGGAGGCTACTTAATCATACCTTATAATCAACATGAACATTCTCTATCTATAGAATCTATAATAGTATTTGTTTAATATTCTCATCAATCTTTTTTATAACTATTGAATATTTGGTACACTAGATTTAGACTAAATTACTCTTTTAATGCTTCATTCCTTAATTACACTATACCTTGTCATTCATGTTGATGGCCCATTAGTTGTAGGTTCTCATGAATTAATGACACATGACTTTGATTATGAACGAACAACTACATTCCTACTCACTAATCTCTTATCTTTTACATGCAAATGTTACCTTGCTTCATGATGTCCTCCTCTTTTTGAAAGTGAATTTCTCATGTGCTTGAAAATGTGTAGTACCTAGGAATTTTTGCATATTAAATTTGAAGGTGCAAATTTTTTTCTAGGTTATTATAAAGCGACAAGCATAGATAAGCCATCCCATTTGAAGAAAATGAGCATGCATTTGCCGCTGCAAATATTTCCACCAATGCTAAAAGACAATTTAGATGGAGTCGGTGGATTGGTAATGTGTTTCTCTGTTTACATGTTTTGTGTTTCTACTAATATTTCTTTATTTCTAGGAATTTAGAATTAAAGTTTAAGACTCTTTTTTTTCACTGCCAACAAAGTTCAAGATTTAAACCTTTTTTTTATATTTCTAAAGTTCGTTGCTAGCACATGTGTAAAGAAGATTTCCTTTTATAATATATTTACAATGATTTTCTTCCTTACTTCGTGCCAATCATTTCCATGTTATGCAATGGTCATGAAAAATCTAATTTATCCATATTTTTTTAATTGCAAGCTATTTCATTAGAATATGGGGTGGCGCATTTTCATTTCAAACATCAATAAAGTTACAACACTTTCTCCAAAATAAATTATTTATATTATTGATAAGTTTTAATCAATTTATAAGTTTTAAATATTAAGAGATCCCCCCTTCTCTCTCACACACGCACACACGCACGCACACACGCAGGTTTACTAAAAAAAATTAGTAAGAGTAAAGTGACAATAAAGAACATACAGCAACAATAACATATTTCTATATAATATATATATGTATATATTAAAAGTTATTTAAACATTAGTAAAAAAATTATTTTCACATAATAACATTTTAGATTTTTTATTTTTTAATTATTATTATTTATTTAAATTATTTTTATTTTTTTCAGATTCCGTGCATCACACTGGCCACATACTAGCATGTGTGAAAAATAAAAAAAAAAAAAATTCCTTTCAATTTACCACGTCTATTTCCCTTGGAACCAACGTGGTAAAGCTAATCCACATTTCTTATGTGGATAACCGATGTAGATTGGCATTCTAAAATTCGTTGTTTGACCTCGATGCCTCCCACTTTCAGTTTTTAACTTTTCATTTCTCTCATTCTCACACTCCAAGCTTGCTCGTTCCATCACCAGTCGCTACAGCCAGATGCATCGCCGCCATTGCCATCACCATGCTCTAGCCATTGCTGTTTGCTACGGTCACCAAACTAAGTCCTCCATCCGCCATTTGCAGGTACTTGGGGGTTACATTTTGGATGATTTTTTAGGTTAGTTTTAGTCTCATTTCGATTTCTTCTTTCCTCCTCCTCCTCCTCATTGTGAGTGTATTTTCTTTCTTTCTTCCACATATTCTTCTTTGATGCAGAGTTCTTCCTTTTTCCTCTTCCATTGTTGGGGTTGTTCCAAGTGGGTTTTTGAGTTCCATTTTTTTCATCCATGGATCCCAAGTAAGTTTTATTGTTATATTTCTATTCTATTTTTGTTGATTTCTGAAAGTTATAGTAGTTGGGTGGTTGTAGATTTGAATATTTGTTAAATGTTTGCCTTCAAGTTTTCTTTTCTTTTTTTTTCAATAATTTTTGGTTGACTAAAAATTATTATGTCTCCATTGATGGGACTGTTTCTTAGTGAATTTTGATATTGTTTCATTTTCTTTATTGTTGTTGAAATTTTAGGATGTCTTGTTTTAAGGGAAAATTCTGATAAAATTTTTTAAATATTTAAATTTAAAAATAAATATTTTTTAACCAAGGAAATTGGGTTTAAAATTTTTGTGTTTAAAAATTTACTAGGTTTACCTAAATTTTGGAGTGTGCATAATTCTTAATTTAAAAATTCTTACTTAAGTTGTTAAATTTTTAAATTGCTTGAGGATTAGTTGAATTTGATTATTAAAATTTAGGGAGGCCATAATTTAAAAGGAAACTCTGCTGAGATTTTGTTATGGTTTTCATTTTGTGATTGTTGAGATTTTTGGATGTCTTACTTTATGGCAAAACTTTGCCAAAAAAAAAAATTCCTAATCTTTACAAATTGGAATACACACACACACACATTCTCTCTCTTTCTCCCTCTCTCTCTAATTAGTCATAATTCTTAAATTTTTGTGCCTAGAAATTATTTTGTGTTTCTTTCTTTCTTTTAAATTAGGAGGTCCTGTTATAAGGGAAACTGCCAATTTTTTTTTAATATTTACAAAATTTATATAATTCAGCCATGGCTTGAGAGTTTGACTTGAACTTCATTGTTGTTGAGATTTGAGTTGAACTTGATTATTGTTCAAATTTTAGGAGGTCTTATTTTAAGGGGATACTCTGCCAAAATTTTTTCTAATATTTACAAAGTTTATATTTTGGTATTTAAACAATGGATCATAATTGGATGAATGCTAGAAAAGAAGTAAATAATATGAAAATGAGGTGGAATATTTTCTTGAATTCATTAAAGTGAATGTTTCTAATAAAAATAGACTGTATTTTCATCCTTGTGTGAAATTTTTAAATGGAAGTCAACTGAATATTGCTAAAATAAAATAACATTTGCTTTGTGAGGAGACAAATTTGAGATATAGAAAATGGATATGGCATAGTGAACCAAAGGACTAAGTTCCATGTCTCAAGAAAAAGAAGTAGGTGTGAATGCTTGAGATTATAGCATAGAGAATATGATCTATGATGTTGGAATAGAATCTTTTGCATGAGCACATACTTATGAGAGCTTGCAAAGTAATGCAGAGAAGATTTTATATTTGGGTTGTCAAAAGTGTACACATTTGGTATGTGTGTTGAAATTGGTCAACTTGAAGGTAAGATGTGAGTGAACTGATATGAGTTTTACTTGATTGCTTAAATTGTTAACAGATATGATTCCTAACAGTAATTGCTTGCCAACCATCACTGTAAGGCCAAGAAAATCTTTTGCCTGATGAGTATGTAGTATTTAAAAATACACATTTGTCTTAATGACTATGTATTGTATAGAAAGGAGTATGAAGGGCTACATCAGTATTTGAAATGTGAGGTGTCACAATACAAAATAAGAAGGACATAAGGGGTGATTGTAATGAGATTGCTAAAGACTCACTTGCAAAGGTGCTATGATATCTTCTAATAATACCATAGTTTGAGTGTTTGTTTTCTAATGCCATGGAAGCAAAAAACTTGAGATGACAATTTGATGACAGAATATCCGATGATAAACTTCGACACTCAGTTGATTCTCCTTAATGGAAGATGATAGATCAGAAATTTTCTGATTTTGTTTGTAAGTCAATAAAATTTTGACTTAGACTCTATACGGATAGAATTAACTTTTTCATTAATCTCAGCAATACATATAGTGCATGGCCAATTCTTTTGATGATTTACCATTTACCTCTTCGTGTATGAAATGCAAATATATCATATTGATTTTATTATATTACTTGTGACATTCAATACATTACAAAGCAAAAAATAACAAAACATAAAAAGATGTTCTAGTTTTTTAGTTTTTTCAAACAACTTTTAATATATTTTTTTCCAAAAAAAAATAGAAAACACATTCCCAAACATTTTTTTATATAATTTTTTTCAAAATCAAAAACTGTTTTAAAATCAAGTAATCAAACGTGCCCTTAGCTAGTTGGATAATAGTTAAGTTTTTTTTTTTTATATGACTATTGACTGTGTTATATTTGAATATTACCTGACCTAATTGGGGGTATCTTTCTCATAGGCATTTTTTTTACATTCACAGAGATTCAAACTCAAAACCTCGTACTTATAATGACCATAGCCCCTTCTGTTAAGATTAATGCCCATTGGTAGAGCCATGTTTATTTTAAAACTACAATTTAATATAATTTTAACACCATTAATAATATTATATTCTATTTAACCAACAAGTGTTGATTCTAGTGATAGGGGCTATGGCCATTTAAGTATAAGGTCTCAAGTTTCTCAAATTCGAGTATATATGAATGCATAAAACCTTTTTGGGCCTCACAACCAATCAGATAGGTTGTAAAATAAATATTCTATTCAAGATCTTAAGATACTTAATTTTGTTAATTTTGTAAAATGAAGGTGGTTGCTTGCTACTCCCTCTCAAGGCGCTCTTGCTTGCTACCCATGCTTCTTGCTTACAACTTGTTTTCGTTTTCTTCGATTCTTTCTATTCTGATTGTCTGTACTTGTTATCTTCGATCACTTGTTTGTTTGTGTCTTCTAGTTCTTTTCTAGTTTTGGTGGTTTAAGATGCAGTTGCCTGATTGTGGTGCTTCTCGATGAGCTTTTTTTGGTTAAAAACACTATATTTTCTTAAGGTTTTAGATCAACAAATTCTCCATGCCTTAAAGCTCCAATGGCTAATCAATATTTATTGATAGATGCGTGATGTTGTTCGTGTCATTCAACAACATAAAAATTATTTTGTTATATATATTTTCCAAATGGGGAGGATTTGAAGTTCATTTTGGATCATGGGACATGGCTTCTTCAAGGTTTCACTTTGATAGTTCATGCTTGGAAACCTGATATGCATGCCTATCTCCAAAGTTCATTTTGATCATTTATACGTTTGGATTCGAGTATTTGGTTTACCAATCGAATACTAAGTACTATGAGTCTGTTGCTGCTTTCATTAGAAGTCACTTTGGTTCCTTCATTAAATTTTATTGGTCTAGTTTGGTTCACTTTAGAGGTCTGCTTTTCAAAGCTCTTGTCTCTGATCCTTCTTTGGGTGCTCTGTTTCATGAGCTAATTAAGTTGTTTAATGGAGATAAGGTGGAGTTTTATTTCTTTCATGATGTAACATATTTGGCCGACTTTATGTGAATTATCTTCAGCTATTTGTAAGCCCAAGTCTTTGAAGTCCAATGTTCAAGTTGCTACTGCTCTCACCATTCCTCTTTGCTACGTACGTGGAGTCTTGCATAAAGATGTGCCAGATGTTTCAAAGAGTGCCACGCATAAGAGGAAGTATTCAGCCTATGTTGATGGGTTTGAGGAGTCTCTTCAGCCTACAAAAATGGTGAAGAGTTCTTGCCATCATTACCTTGGAAAAATTTTAACGTTGATTTGAACGGGCATGTTGGGGTTCAATTTTTTAACCATGGTTTTTCTGCTTCTGTCAAGGATAGGTAAAAAAAAGCATGTCCTGCCCGTTCTGTTGTTGTTCTCCCATGCAGTTTTTATTTTTAGACGCTTCAATTGCAGTCGTAAAGCGAAGTTAGATCCATCGTCCATTTTGGAAAATGGTGTCATTCCTGTTGTCTTAACAATTTCAAGAGCACCAAGTCCAATTTAAGATCTTTCTAAGGGCCCATCATTTGGCATTATGGAAATAAAAATGAAGACGGGATTTGAACAAAATATTTATTTGGTATGATGGAATTGGAATATTTTCCAATTCCAATTGGTGGAATGGGCGTCCAAAATAAAACCACAGTTCACACATTTCATGTTCCATTTTTCATTTTTGGCCCCTCCCTCTTTTGTCTCCTATCAACCTTCCCGCGGTAACTTCCTCTATTGACAGCAATGAGTTTCTTCCTCTCAATCTTCTTCATCTTTGACTTCTCTCTCTAAATCTCTAAATCCAACACTAATGTAGAAAGGATTTTTAACGTCAATTGTTTTGGACTTTTTGCATCAATTATTAGAAAAAAGTAAAAAAGAACAAAGTAAAAAAAGTTCACTTTTCATAACGAACATGAAAAGTGAAGACCGATGTGGAAAGTTTCCACGTCGGTTACAAATAAAATCGATGTGCCACATCTATCTCTTTTTTTAAAAAAAAATATTGCAATGCAGAAAAACGTTCTTCTTATTTGAAATAAAAAATAACTCACAAAAATGTAAAAAAAAATATTTACATTTGTTCTTCAATTTATAAAGATTAAAAAAAAAATTCAACAGAATTTCTCCTTAAAATAGGACATTCCAAAATTTCAACAATCAAAAAATTTATCCAACACATGGAAATATATATTGGAAACATAATAATCCTCAAACCTTAATTATCATAATTGTACAACAAAATTCATCACAATAAATTTATTTCTTCTAAGAAAGTATAAATTTCATATTATCAAAAACTCAATAAAAAAGCTACATTGTAGAAAAGAAAAAAAAAATATAAAGAATAAAAGTAAAAATACAAAGGCAATAATTCAAATCCAACTACTATAATTTTTATAAATTAATAAAAAATAAAAATAATAATGAGACTTACTTGCAATCTATTGAAAAAGAAAATGCAACTTATAGAACATACTTAAAGTAATACCCAACAATGGAGAAGGAAGAAGGAGCAAGCACCCATTGAAAAAATGCATTTGAAGAAGATTCACCTACAATGGAAGAAGAGGGAAGAAGAAACAAAATAAATGGAGACTCAAAATCAAAGAACTCACTTGAACCCACTCACAAGAGGCGACAACGATAGATATGCTCCAAAGACAAAGATCGATGGTGATGGAGCTCAATGGACTTCGAACAGAAAAAGGTGATGGCGGATGTTGATGGATGACAAGCGGAGCTTCTCTACAACAAAAATGGGTGAAGGTTGAAGCTTTAAATGTTGGAAGAGTTCTGCAAGAGAGAACTTGATAGGGGGGAGGGAGGGAGAGAATAGAAGGGGGCTATTTGAATGGGGGGAGATGCAGAGAACTTACTTATAAAGAAAAATAACATCAATTTTTTGAAAAATTGACGTTTCAACATCAATTCTAAGAAATCTGACATTGAAAAATTTACAGTTTTCCTTTTTTTTTTTTATATTTTTTACAACTTTTTCATGTCGGTTCAATAACGGACATGAAAAATGCTTTTAACTCGGTAATTTATACAATTGATATTAAAAGTCTTCGCATTATTTATGAAATTGTCACTTGCTTTTTTTTCTTGACAATGGATTTTGCTTAACCGACATTAAAAAATGATGTAAAAAGTGTTTTTTTAGTGGTGCAGGCAGCGACAATCTTATTCGTCTTCACAGAACCCCAATCTTCTTCTCCTTTGCAAATGGCGATTGTGGCATCAAGGATGTGACTATCTAATTGACCCCCACCGACGGTGAACATAAACCACTCGATGAAAAACACAATTTCTACTTCATCTTCTGCTTCGGTGAATCCAACCCCCACTCAAATGCAAACCATTTCACAATCTCTTCTGCCTTTTGCTTCATCTTCTTTGTGATTTCTTCTTCTTTCTCACTACATCTAGCTAAAGCTTAGTAGCAGATTTCATCTTTTTCATGATTTTTGTATATGACATCTGATTTCTGCTTCTCCTTCATGATTTTTGAATATTGCATCTAATTTCTGGTTTGTGGATAGTCGATGTTTGTGGCTGATTTCTTGTTTGCTTCTGTTCTTCAATTTCATGGTTACAGGGGGTGGTCCCTTCTTTGATCTGGGCTGGAGTAGATCTTGGGCGGGAGCAAAATTTTTTGGGATAAGAGCATTTAGTTTTTTTTTATATTTTTAAGATTGATATTGAACAAAAATAATCCCTCAATTTCATAAACATACTAAACATATTTTTAAACTTCATATCCATATTCACTTCCATATCTATTTTCATGTCTATCAAAATCATTTTCAGCATATCAAATAGGGCCTAAGTAATCTAACTCTGTTTGCCGACCTTTGCTTCTTGGCCTCACTAAAGTACGCTTGTCGATGTCTCAAACGCAAGCTTCCCCTATATTGCAATGCCGATAATTGAGCACGGGTTTCACGAGGTTTATGCCAAAAAAACCTCGTCTCTTTCCATGATATCCTTGGAGAACTCTAAATATTTTTGTAGCCACTTGGAAGTCCACATATATTGCTGCTTTGTCGTCATTATTTATGTCATGAAGATGCTTGTGCTTTCTTGAGCAAAGTCATTTTCCTAAATGTTTGTGAAAATCTTCAACAACCATTACTTCATGAGGATAAGCTTTGGCTTTTTAAATCCTACGAGAGAATATATGATGATTCGATAACATGTTATCGTTTCATTGTTCAATTCGCTGCTCTTCCAATGCTATCATCAAGCTGGATTTCAAGCTAGCTCATCCAACTCTTCATGCAAGTTTCATTGAGTTTTGTCTGTATGGATAAAAGATGTTTGGCTTGGGATTTATGTGTTCGTGTCTTTTTATGTTTTTGTATCTTGTATTGTTGGGTTTGGTCTTCTTTTTATCATGTTTGTATCTTTTTTTTTTTTTTTGTTTAGGTCTTTCTTTTCTTATAGACCTGAGGAGTTACTTCTTGGGGTCTTTTTTCCCCTCTCGCTATAATCGATTTCTTGTGTTTTAATAAAGTTTGATCGTATTTCAAAAAATATTTAAAAAATAAAAAGAACATATGTTTAGATCGGACAGGGCAGATCAAGACTTAGCCTAGCACGTAGCTTAATAAGCCCAGACAACTCTACAGGGGCCAGGCATATTGGCACAGCCATAGCTAGCTATTTAATCCCGCACATGCGTGCAGAAAACATTTATTGGAGAGTTCACGATATTAATGCCATGATTCATGAAACTCTATACTGACCTTTTGCTCAAATGTTCAATGCCTTCGATCAGAGCGCTCTCCTTGCTTCGTGATTCCCCTGATCAAAGTACAACAAAGATTTAAATGTTGAGAAAAAAAATTAATGGAATACCCTAAAATTGTAATGACCTAAAAATTTTAAGTAAAAATAATCATGTTACTAATATGAAAATTGCAAATAAGTTTGAAGAATTAAGTTTTTCATTATGTTCAAATTTTATTTTTTTTTTATTAGAGATGTGTCAAATAGCTATATAAAAAATCATATTTTGTTCAATATTTTAGGATTCTTAATTTTATTGATTGAAATAATACTATATTAAAAAATATGGTATTAAAAATAATTATTCTTTACTAATTTTTTTTAAATACATATATTCAATCTAGAAAGAATAGGGTAGGATTTGAAATTTCAATCCTGTGCCCAGCTCAGTGCCCAGCTCAAAACCTGCCCCAATCAGTCCCTACTATTTTATCCACACATGCATATAGAAAACATTTATTGGGTTCTCACGATTTAATATCACAGAACTTTAAACTTTCCTCTTATCCAAATATTCAACGTCTTTGATCGGAGGGCTCTCCTTGCATCTTAATTTCCCCCTAAACTATCTCCGGCGACATCTGACAGCCTTCTCCAATATCATGGGGTTGTAGGGCCGTGGTGCTGATTGTTTAAGTTGATAGGATTCAGGTCAGCCTTTTTATTTCATTGATGTAGGCTTTATTTTTTTTTTCTTATTAAAAAAACTCATCTTTATTTTTGTATAGGATGGTTGATTTCTTAACTAAATCAGTTTTTAATTTTAGTAATGATTTCAATTTGTATCATCAATCTCTCATTACTTGATTCGGGTTTTTTTTTTTTGGGCTTTCGGTTTTGTTGTTTATCAGGCTATGTTTTCTCTAGCTTGTTCCTTTGTACACTTTCTTTTTAAAGCGAAGGTCTCCAGTATTACTCACAAAAAAAAAAACTCATGTCATCATCACTTTGACATGGAATTACAAACTTAATAATGTTAATTGACATGTAAACATTATTAATATCATTTTTATATCACATTAAAATTCCTCTAAAAATGTAGAGACCAATGTTGCAGATGGAAAAAGGTATTGGGACTTGAAACACTCAAAAAAATATATAAGAAAACCTATACCAAAACATGAGTAAAATATAAGGACTAGAAATAGTATTTTTCTTTAAGTTTTTCATAATGTAAAATTTTAAATTTTGTTAGAGATGTTCATCAATGGGGAGTTAAGTATTATTGGAAAAAATGTTTGACGATTCTAAGAGAGTAGAAGTTGAAACTTGAAACCCATTGAAGTATCACATAAGAAATTATTATGTTTCACTACTTTTAACTTGAGTTTTTTGGTCTTCTCAATTCATTTTGGAAGTTGAGAAACACGCCGAGGGCAAAGAGAGAAGAAGTGTCTGGAATTTCCCCAAACGTGCTCCAACTATTCCCAACATAGAATAACATTCAAGGCCTATGAATTTGAAAGATGATAGAGAAGCACCTCAATTAGTCCTTAACCAATCTGAAAATAATTACAACTTTCCTCAGATTTGAGAAAATTTATAATTTCTTGTTCTTTTTTTTTTCTTTTACCAACCGTTTATAATGTATAGTTCACAACTCACTTTCATTTACAAGTTTTTTTTTTCCCCAACAAATCATTATTGCAATTGATGCAATGAAATTTACAACGCTTAATTTATAAAAGATTTTGGATAACTTATGACAACCCATCCTATAATTTTACATTATACTCTCTCTAGTTCACATGATAACTCACTTTCTAGTAAGATTTGTTAGTCCTTAACATAAAGCATATTGGGGTTTATTTCGTACTATTTTTCAATTTTACTCTTATTATAAATTTTATTTTATGAATTATCATATTCTGTGTATCTCTCTCATCCTATTTTCAATGGGATAAAATTGAAAAAAAATATATCATTTTAAAACATATTTAATGAGTTAATTGTCATTTTTTAGTTTTATTTAAGTATTTGAAAGCACTTTGTAATAGGAATCAGACAGAGTACCTTATTACTCTCCAGTTTTATATATAATTTATTTTTAATCAGTAAGACTTACATATATAATTTTGTATATTTAATATATTTTTTTCTAATCAAATTAAGACATGTAAATTTTAATGTGTTAATAATACTAATAATAAGAATTTCTCATACAATGAATAATTTATAAAAAAAATACATGTGTCTTGATTTAATTAAAAACAAGTACCTTATATATAAGATTAAATATATAAGTTTGTCTCACATTAATTATCTTGCTAAAATCAAGGAAAGATAATTTAAAAACTTTTTTTTTTTTACATTTTACGCTTACTAATTGCAACGTCTTTAAAAATATTTTCTTTTCAGATATAGCTTTTTACATGATCTACTCATAGAAAATTGTGAAAGAATAAAATTAAAAAAAAAGTAATTAATTAATGATCAATTTTTAATGCAAACTAACTTAGAAAAAGGACCATCAATTCCTCCCAAAACATACTCTCTCTAATCTCTATTATAAGGCTTGCAACTGCGTTATTAGCATCAATAAATGACAATTAACTTATTAAATGTGTCTTAAAAAGAAAAAAATAATTTTACCCTATTAAAAATAGGAAGACAAAGATGCACAATATGAGAAATAAGTCCTAAAATTAAATTAACAATAGTGGTCAAATTGAAAATGATAATAAACTAACTCTTTGTATGCATTATATTGTTAAAGTGGAAAATGATAATAAACAAACTCTTTGTGTGCATTATATTGTATACCAAAAAATCCTTTTAAAAAGTGCCATATAAGAAGGCAAAGAAACTTACATTTAGGTGGGGGGAGTATATAAAAACCAGTTTGTGATGGTTTGTCACTCATCTTCTACGTTGTACTTACGTACGACCAAATTATTCAGTATTCACAACTAACTATGTTTGGATATCTTCAAAAATAGTAATTATATTTGTTATTTAAATTATTAAATAAAAATTTTAAATTTATAAATTTAAAATGTGACATTTAAAATTCAAATCTACTAATTCAAACATTACCTAAGTAAATTTGATAGGTTGTGGGAGGGCTTTCTCTCACTCAAAAAGACGTACGGGAGAGTACTATATTGAGAAAATTCATGCGAGGCTGTCAATAAATCCATAAATTCAAAAATAGAGTAGTAATCTAAAGTTACTTAACTCACCTCAAGTTTCAACGCTTTTTCTACTATGTTGGAATGCCTCCTTCTTCCCCTTCTACTTTTTTTGGTTTTTACTTTTAACGTTAAGCGAAGACGAAGAACAGCAACGGTTGATGGATAGGCGTACCAGAGTCAAGCAAATTTTTTTTTTTCGAAGAACAAGAACTAGAAGATGATCAACAGAACTGAAGGGAAAAGCCAAAACAGGAATTCAAGTAGAGCACACAAATTGTATGTTTTTTTTTTTAATAACGAAAACGACAATAGCAGTGATTAATGGAGAGATCCACCTCAAAACTCTAATCGCTGGATAATTATCTTTGAGATTTTTTTTTTTTTTTTGCCTTTTTCAAAGAAGAAGAAGAAAAATAGGAACTAGAGAGAAATCAGAGTAGAGATACAAACAGGGCACCCAGATTGTTTTTTGTTTTTTAAATTTTTCTTCTTAAAACAAGAACAACAAACAACAATGATTAATGGGACTGTAGAGATCAAAGAGACAAGAAGAATGCAAATACAAAGAATCAGGGCACATGAAGTGTTCAAGAAGAACAAGAGAATATATAAGAAGGCCCAACAAAGATTGTTAATAAATGAAGGAAAAAAAAACACACAAGGAAGGATCCGAACACAAACAAGATAGATCTGACACTGACAGAGTGCTCAAGAAGCAATACTGGATGGTGTGAATAGGAAATTGCTGGGAGGAAGCTGAAGCTGCAGTGAATAGAGAGTGGGTATTTGCTCTGAATGCTTAGCAAGAGAAGAATATAAATCTAAGTTTGGAGGCAGAACTTTTCATCTGAAACAAATATTTAATTTTCTTTTAGACCGGCAAAGATAAAATAGTTTTAGTTTTTAGAGCCAATTACGTGTTTTATATACATCAACGACAAAAACAACAACAAGCATTTATCTCACTAAGTGGGATCGGCTACATGAATTACAAGACGTCATTATATTCTATCATTTATCAAGCTTTTAGAAATATTATTAATTAAGAGATCACGTTCAATAACTTCCAAGAATGTTCTGTTAGGCCTTCTTCTACCTCTCTTAATCGGATTCAAAGTTATATGTTTCACTCTTCTCACTGGTGCCTCTCTTGGTCTTCTTTGTACATGCCCAAACCATCTCAACCGATTTTCTACTATTTTTTCCTCAATAGGTACCACCCTCACTTTTTCGCGTACGTGCTTATTTTGAATTTTATCTTTACATGTATGTCCGCACATCCATCGTAACATTCTCATCTCTGCCACTCCAAATTTATGCTCTTGTTGTCCTGTTAGAGCCCAGCATTCACTACTATATAACATTACCGGTCTGATAGTAATGCGATAAAACTTTCCTTTAAGTTTATTAGGCACATTACGGTCGCAAATAACTCCTTTAGCTTTTTTCCAATTAAACCATCCAACTTAAATTTTATGTAAAATATCTCCACTAATTTCACCATCATTTTAAATAATGATTCCTAAATATTTAAACTTTTTTATTGAATGATTACGTGTTTTATATAATTAAATAAAATCACTTGATTACAAAAGAGGTGGGACTCACACGAAGGAAAGAACGAGCGGAAGAATTTTCCACTATCTCTCGGATCCTGGTTATATATTCTACGATTATATTATCCATTCATTCATTATATTATTCCACTTTCTTCTGCTTTTGAAAAAGTTTTTTTCTTTGTCTGCCATGATGCTTTCTTTTCTTTTTCCTATTCGCCAGGCTGTATAGAGCTAAATTGTTATGCGCTGTACTTCTTTTTATTTTCTTATTTAACATTAATATTGTTCTGTTTCAAAAAAAGAATTAAATATGCAAGGTGGCCCATATATACCAGTAATACTTACAAATACCATGTTAATTTTATAAATATGTTCATATGTTACAAGATCTGATTGCCGATTGCTAGTCTAATTAATTTATACTCTCAGGAATTTTAGCCCCAAGAACGGTTTGGACTTTGGAGAGTATTTTCTTCAAGGAAAGTGTCACACGTGAGGATGAGTTCTTGACATTATCATAACAGTACTCCAACAACACCGTTATAATAATTAAAATTAATTAAATTTTTATGTAAAATTGTCACAATATGAAGGTTTAAAAAATTAGTTTAAATATTAGGATCCAAAATAAATTCTTTTTAAAAATACGTTTAAATTTAAATCATAATTTAAAATAAGTTAAATAAGATAGCGTAATGTCACGGGGCTAGTCTTTCGACCCGTGCGGCACTTAGACAACCTTCACTGGAAGTTGCTAAGTAAGCCTAACTCGTATGAAAGGAGGATGCTTGGCTAAGAAGAGGAAAGGGAAAGCTTGAAGGCAAAGGAGAGTAGAGAGAGTTTGGAAAATGAGAGAGTTTTATAGCTTTGAGAACTCAAGGATGATTTACAAATGAGGAGGGGTGAGATATTTATAGGCCTTTCCTTTGATCTAGAATGTTCCCACCTCCTTAATGGACGGTGGAGATTAAATCCATCCTACGGTTACAATTGATTCTCTAGAATTCTCTTAACAAATATCTAGATATTTAAATGGAAGGATCTAGAGACAATATTAAAATATTGAGGTTAGAGTTGTGTAGGCTTCTCTAAAATGTTCTTGCACTCCCTAACACTCTTAGGGTTAGCTGAGAGCCTTCTGGAGGGTTCTGGAGCATTCCAGACCTTGTAAAAAATGACGAAACGTGACAGTAAGCATAGAAATTAATTACAATTCTTAAATGTATTAAATGAGCATTCTGAAAATTTTTTAAAAGGTATCGTTCGCCGTGGCACGTGTGTCCTCCAACGTCACGGATGGCATAAAAGAGAAAGCCTCTCGCTGCGTTATGCACCGGCATGCTCATTGTGTGTTTTAGCTTGTTAATTGCAGTTGTGACAGAACCACGGAAAGAGGATCAAGTCTCCTTTTTTACAATCCAGATACTTTCTCAGTTTCTCTTGCTTGACATGTAAAGCCTACCAAATCCTCTTTATTTATTCCTTAATTATAATTTATTTTCACTTGAAGAAAATCTAAGTTTCCTGACACTAGCCCAACTCAAGTGACACGTCGCCAAAAGAGAAAGGATCGACGTGATGAAATGAAGTCGTGTTAACTAAAATTTTTAAAAATCAGGTTGGACGATAAAATCATAAAAGATGAATCATAAAAGTCAACACGATTCTTACAATTTAATTAATTAAATTAATAATTGAATAAATGACGTAATAATTAAATAAAAAATAATATTTAAATTAAAAAATAAGTTCAAACAGTTCAACTGTTCTGAGTGTCAAGGTTTTTTCATGAGTCCTTAAGAATCACCCTGATCAAAGCAGGCCCCCCCGGAGAAAAAGTCAGAACATGCCAAATGTGTGAACCAAATTCTTTCCTTTTCCAAACTATAAATAACCTGACCGGTCCCGGTTTGAAAACATCGGTGGCAGGTGGGAGAGAGGGCCCCGCAACTATAGAGGTCACAAATAGAGAGGAGGGGGGGGGGCCATGACAACCCTTCTTTTCCGCATACGACAAAACCATTATCAATAATCTGGTCGTCCTTGATTACCCAGTCAAGAAAAGTCACTTTATATTTTATATATCTGTATCAATAATGCGATCGAAGAGCTTGGAATATAATTAGCTTGGTCTCTTGCTCCACTTCCTCAGTTAACTTCTTAATATCTTTTTTCCAATTGATTGAGTGCTGCTGAAAAGCATCCGTACTAGAGGTGGAGAAAGAGAGGACCAATGAGGCTGCGTCTTCTTCTATCTTTTTAATTTTTTTAGTAAAACATTCAGCCCCTAAATTAAAGTATTACAGAAGTTTTGAAATATTAAATAAAAATTTTTATTTTAATTATATAATAATTTTTTATGCATATACAGTTCAATTATTTTAATAATTTAAAGATATAGTTGTCATATGATTACTTATTTTTAATGAGATAATGTTATAATTACTTTTAAAATATTAAGTTATTTAATTTTGCTTTCATTTTATATTTGATGAAATAAATTATGAAAATTATTACTGACAAACTTTGCCAAGCATTATAACAAAATTTTAAGATATATTAAATGCTATATACTTGATATTTACCATAAAAATCACTTATCTAAAAGTTAAGAGGTTGTGGTTAAGATATGTTCCTCTATAAAACAATTACTTTTTTTTTATAAAACCAAGTTTTAAAATTTATGTATAAATAATTTTTAGTATGATAAACTTAAATCTCATCAACATAAAGAATTGTGATAATTGAGCATTATTACCATATTGATATATTTATTTAATATAATTATCAACTAAAAGAATTAAATACTAAATTCAATAAATAAGTAATAGAGTTTTTTAGATTAGACAGAATTTTAGACTTCAAAGATGCATTTAAATTATTCACTGCTTGAGGGGAAGATAAAATTTTTGCCAATTTAATTATAATTTATATTGAGAATAAAATTTTTAAAAAATCTATCGTAGACATAATAATTAATTATTTTTATATCTTGAAAAATTGATGAGGAAAACTTAAACAATGAAGTTATATATATATTTTTATTATATATAAAATTAAATATAAATATATACGTTAAAATATTTATGTCATGTTAGTAACATATATAGATTTAATTTTTTTTTAATTATCATATATGTTTTATTATGATGACTCTTTAATAAAATTTTCTGACTTTGTCCTTATCTGTATATGACAACTACTACGTATATTATATTCCTCACTTTCTCAGAATTTCCATCCCAAGCAAAATCCCAAAAATTTCCACTTTATTGAAAAGAAAAAAAACAAAAAGGCAATGATATGCCTGCATGAGATGCTAAAAAAGAGGGCGGCTTGGTGATTTTTGTTACGTATGTATATTGATACGAGTTAATGTATATTATCTAAAAAATGTTGTTTGATGTTTTTTTAATGTCGATGGGTTGGGCAAATGATATATTATAATTACTTAATTAACAGTTCAAATGCTTTAGAGCTCATGTGAAGGCGTCAATAAGTATAACTAAACTAGCTCTCGTGTTTGATTTAGGAAGAATCACATGCCACTCCTAAATAAGATAATTAATTATCCAATTATCCATACGTTATAACAACATTTAAATATAGATGCTTAACTCGCAAATGAAATCAAGGAAATGATTAATTGTTTTATTTGGAACATGTACCAATGCAATTCTCCCCTTTAATTTATCATCACAATTATTTATTTGAATTTATATCTTACCCCTAATTAGTTGGTAAATGAGAATATTGAGAAAAAAAAAACAAACATGAACGCTAATTTTATCATTTGACCCAATTGAACTTCTCTCCCCTACACCATGGGTTCATGGTTTAATTGGTGGTTTTTAAGTGAAAGTGTAAAAGCTATACCATGTAAATGTCGCTTTTTTCTGATTTTATAGCTCGTTGTGATAATTCATAACACTGTTAAAATCAACTATCGACAAGGACTCCATTAATCATGCATCTTCCAAATTATCCAACATAGCCACATAAATCAAGTCCATACATAATTGTGCGTGATGCAAAATGGCTCTGAGTTTTTTTTTTTTTTTGGCCAAGAAAATGGCTCGGAGTTGAAACTGATATTTGGTGCATGCACTCAGGTACATTGTACTATCTCTGTTCCAACTTCCTATATGTTTAAAAAAACATTTACAAGCAGAGAATTTAAACAATGTAGAGGATATTGTTGATTAATGATGGAAGTATCTTTGTAAGCATATTTTGAATTTAGATATATATTCTAATTTTAGGTTACGTTTTG